TCTCATATCTGGCTCAGTCCTTTAACATAAACATCAGTTGGGTTGCACTAATAATCCAAAGAAATTTGCACAAAAGACTGTGGGAGTCTCCCCTCTGTCTTCAACTGGCTTTAATTGAGATCCATCAGTCTAAGAGTTTTTTCTCTGAACTGGCATAGCCCAGATATATTAACCTTATCCTGAAGGCTCATTTCCCTCTTCAGACTATTTCTGGGTCTGGTCGAGGTGATGGGGTATTGTTCACATGGATCACCGCATATTTATTAACTTTTATGGAGATCACTGGGGACTCCTTTGATGTCAACTCATCCCTTGCAAGCCAAAGTAGGTCAGGCACAGAACTCCCTTTGCCTTTGATTTTAAACTAAATATGAAGAGCTGGCCTGACTACAGAGTAGGGCAACATATGCATCATTAAGTCCTCTGGAGCTAATTCTCCCCAGTAACAAATTGAGGTATAGTTTGTCACCTCGCTGACATAACAAGGAGCACATGGCAATGCACACGTGAATTCTCCATGCACCCCTTCTATTCCAGTCCTTGCCCAGGAGAGAGGAAATTCATAAGGAGCCTGTGAATTACTACTGCTTGTGGTGGAGGCTATTTCTAGCACTTAATCCTGCATTTCTTTTAGATACAACACAAGAGCTTGGGGGGTCAAGGACTCTACGAGGGAATGTAATTTCAATTGACTAGAGCAGCTGGAACCCAAAGCAATATTTGCTGGAAGAACCTTGAAGGAGCACAGGAGAGAAACTTTGGGACAAAGAAGAAAGGCAAAGTGGTGAAGGAGGTTATTCATCCCATTTTTGAATTAACTTATGCTTCAATACAATCTTCACTCACAACATGGTGGTCAGAGCGTGCTGACTGCTCTATAAGGGCTCAGCAAGAACTCTGATACAGCAGATGACTTGTACAAGGGTGAGAATGAAATGCAGCCTGCTTGCCCATAAATAGATTTGAGGGGTTTTTGTTTATGTTTTGTTCTGAAACTGCTTTGTACTCTAGCCTGGAATAACTCTTTTCTCCCACATTTCTCCTTCTTGGCTGGCTCAGATGTGCAGCCACCAGCTGTTTGCTAGGATTGTTCCTTCTCCTTGCCCCCTCCCCTCCAAATTCTTCAGGACATTATTTTCTTGAAGCTTTTCTCAATAAGAATTTAATCAAACAAAACAAAAACGCAGCAACCCGCCGCTTCTTGGACAGTGTTTGATGTGTAAATATGTAAAGAAGGAGTGTTTTGAAAATGCAATCAGCTACCTCCTGGGGACTTGAGTCCTACAACGAGCCAAGGTGACTCCACAAGGGAGATATGTGCTCCTGCAAGATTAAATTCCAGCTGCAGTGGGAGCACTGGTGACCAGAGGCACAGCTAAGTCACTTCTTAAAGAGACATTTTTTGAATAGCAGCATGATTCTCCCTCTGGCCAGGCAGCATGCTCCTTCCTGCATATTGTCGACCAGGTCCGGGCTGGTGTTGCTATCAGTTCCCACCCTGCAGCTCTGAGAGTTATTTGCCCATTTTGCTCCTTCTTGCCTCTGTGGAGCTGAGACGATTGATACCTCTGGACTCTGCAGATACTCATCAGTTTTATGGCCATATCAAACTTTGCGGGGAAATAACTCCTAATATTTTACTTATTACGATGGAGTGAAATACCTTGCACATACAGTGTATGCTTTATGTCAGAACTACTGTGATTGCCACCAATTAAGTATACAGGACGTGACTCCAAGGAAAGCCTGCAGCAGTGCTGGTCTTCTAGCAGGTCAGGAGATACACTACATACAAGCTCCTGTCCTACAGGGCTCAAGTAGGTGACTTATCTTGTTCTCATCCTGCTTAAATGGTTCTCTTCTGCTGCCATTATTATTGAATAACATACACTGCAAAAATTAATATAGTGCAATTTGATGACGGAGTCCTGCTGCTATTTATACTTTGTTTGTGAACAACAATTCACAACACTATAAACTTCCTCTACACCTAGTTCAAATTCACAGTTGATGGGTTTGTCACAGCATGCTGACTGCCAGTTATACTATCTATGATGCTCAGGAACATTAACAATGTATTATTTTGAAGAGACTCACAGGAGAGGGGGCTGTATGCTTACTTATAATTTCTTCAATGCAGTGTCCCCTTGCAGCAAAAGAAAACACATTCAAATGACATTTATCTTCTCATTCAAAAGTGTATTTAAATAATTTTCTATCTTCTCTTTAATAGTATAGATCAGAACTCACTCACTTTCACAGATGCAGCTCTGAAATTTAAAAGACTGACCCTGCCTTTTGGGGAGCAATGCTGTTACTCAAAAAGAAATGTTAGTCCTCAGTAATAGGGAGCTGGTACATGGTTATGTACTCAGCATGAGGCTTATCAGTTGCTGAATTGCTGCAGGCTCCTCCACCTTTTAGACTTGATGCAAAATTGATGCTCCTACCACTGTGTTCACTTGCAAACCCAAAAGGATTTTTCCATCAAGTCTGCTAATCCCTGTGTTCAAATTCCAGCTTCAGTAATTGCAGACTGCCTATGGTTCTAAGCAGAGACATTAATCACCCCTCCCAGCTCAGAGGTGGTTGTGTTTCAGTGGTGGGCAAGGTAATCCCTGCATAAAATGGCTAGAAAGCATGTTTTGGTCTCCTTTTCCATGTCTAAGTGTCTGCTGAAACTCCAAGCAATTTAATCTATTCAGGTGCGATACCAGGATATCAGTCGTGATGACTGGAGATAAAGTGTCAGGTTATTTGTTGAGGAGTTAAGGGAAAAATTCAAATCTGCATTCAGTTTGGAGCTTCAGTATTTTTTTTTGAGAGTAAAGCAAATGATGCCCAGATCTGAAAAAGCAGTCCCTTTACTCTAACTGAAAACACATGAAAAAAGGCAGTTTGCTGCTGTTGGATAAGCATCGAGAGCAAAATTTGCCTTTTTTGGTCTCTACCCACGTGCATCTCGGCAAAATGACCCTCTCCTTGGGCTGAGTGCTTCACATACAGCATGTCAGGTTAGTGCTGCAGAGAAGAGCCTGGCAAAGGCAAGAGAGATTTCCTAGGTGTTTTGTGTCAGTCCTCAAATATCCTCATTGTTTGCAGCCTTTAGCTTAAAAACAATGGCACTCTTTGGCAGATATTTTCCTTTGCTTGCTCTCATTTCTGGGATGACTTTCTTTTACCAGAAAAGAAACACTTGCTATTCATTTTTCCTGTGCTTCACCATGCAACACCTTCTCCAGCGGGTAACATTCCTGCAGCTGCTGGACTTTGCAGACCCTTGAGAAACAGTGGTTTTGCAATTAAATAATTATTCCTGATTGAAGTCTTTGTTGGGCTGATCTCTCAGAAAGGCTAACAATGAGCACCATGCTTGGCATGCACTGTGTGTGAGAAACAGAATACCACATACTTGTACATACAATAAAGATGAAAGGCTTGCACTGTAGTTAAGAGCATGGGATGGTTTAATCCTGAAATAGCATCTTGCTGATACAAACAAGGTCTGTTTGTTTTTTATATGCCTATTTGGGGAATGGCTGCTCTTCAAGTAAACATTCTCTTTTGCATGCAAACACCAATATTTACCTTGACAAGATAGTTTATTATCATTCTTAATTTTCTCTTCCTTTGAATGTTTCCGTTCTCTTAACAAGACGGCAAAACCATTGTATGGATAAACAATCTCAAGTGAACAAATTACCACAGCTTAACACATTCCTCCTCATCAGCTGAGCTGCAGTACCTGACCATAAGCATGTTCTTAGCTCTCTCCGCTCCTAAATCACATATTAGTTTATGTAATGCTTAAGGTGGATTAAGCAACCATATCTTATTTAGCATTTTTAGTAGGCCAAATGTGCCTAAGTGACAAGTTCTCCATTTGTTAGGCATTATTCCTTTCTGAAAGGTGAAGGGTGAAATGAGAAAAACACAAATGCTGGAAGTTACAGGGTGCAACAGTACATAAGTATACAAAACAGGACAACTAAGAATATTTTTAGGTGTAAAGGGGATAAGGAGAAAAGAATTCACCACAGAAAAGAAAGCAAACCTATCTCAATAACTTTATCTATCTCACCGCCTGAGTGAACCTTGGGAAGTACAAAGGGAAGCAGAGCTAACTTTTGCTGAACTCCTGCTTGGCCTCATGATTCAATCTCTGTTGCCAAATTCAATGGATTAAAAGAGGCAGTGGATGTGCAAAGAGACAATGTGACTCTGTCTTCCATTATCCCAGCAAGGGAGATTAATAAATGTGATTCCAATATCTATTTTCCCTCTATGTCAAGTGAACCTGCTTCAGTGCACACCACCATTTACTTCAGTTTTCTCCAGATTGCCCTGAAAATGAACCTGTCTCTCAAGTGCTCCCAGCAGATAAATGACAATGCATAAAATACAGACTTAGAAAGTATTTCTGTAGAAGGATGATGGAGAGACATAAAAGACAGGGTAGCTTATCTAGTTCCTTCCGTCAGCCCTATTGGGACTTTTCCTGTCCCAACAGATGTTCTCCAGTGCTTTGCCCAAGCTAGTTTTTTATCTCAAGGGATAAAACTTCCATCACTTCTCCTGGGAAGCTGTTCCCCTAGCTCTAATACCTCACTACTAGATATCCTCCCAAACTCCTATTAAAATTTAAGTTCTGTTATGTTTGTTCACTTTCAAGCCATTTCTGCTTCCCTCTGTGGAGACACTGTCCTAATACCAAGGTGCTGTAGGCTGTTTCTGAGGTGCAGTATCTCAGTGGAAAGTGACTTTAGATGACCTAGTTTCAGACTAACTCCTCACACCAGCTCTCCATTCCGTTGCTTCGATTTAACGTGGTGAAATGGGGTGGATCTTCAGTGCTTCCTAAGTAAGGTAGTAATCTATGCACAGTGCTGTATCAGCTCATATCAGCTAAACATGGGGACATGTCACCTGTTCCTGCTGACTGGTAAAGCAGAAAATGAGAAAGAACCCAGTAGAAGTCATTGGAAACGCCAAGTCCTTACCTGTCACTACCAGCTGCATGGTGAGGTTCTTATACAGGCCATATTTTGCATTGCTCAAGACGATGGTGTAGTTTCCAGCATGCTTTGGTCTCACATCTCTTATGCCCAGTCTGTACTTCATTGGATCCGGCTCATAGCAAGTGTGGTTATCCTTGATCAGTTTGCCATCTTTGTACCTGTTTTGAAAGTCCCATCAAGGCTCATCATGTGCATGTATGCATGTTAGCCCTCAGAAACTCTTACCCAAGTTAGGGTGGTAAAGAGTCATCCTTTGGAAACAGCAAGGGAAACACAGATCTATAATCGCTGCTTGAATTAGACAACTATTCCTTTTATCCTTCCACACTAAAACTGAGTAGCATCTGCAGTGCTATGGGGTGGCTTAATCTAACAAACAGGAAAAAGACATTTTAATGGATCTGAATGAATAGTGCCTCTCGCATGCTCAACTATGATCAGAAATGTCCATCTAGATGCCCCCAAATTATGCTGGATGTGCAATACTAAGTGCAGGAAATCATGGGCTAGCCAAAATTTATGGCATCAGTTTTAAAACAATGTATTAATTAAGTAGAATTGTCTTTCGATATTTGTATATGACCCTTTACTGTTTCTGAAAAAGCTAAAGTCTGTGACCTGGAAAATTGACAGTCAATAGGAAGGTCAGTGAGGAATCCACAATCTTGTATCTTCACCAGCTAAGAGTAGGAGAGCAGACTCCTCTTCACTGCTAATCCGATATGCAGATTGGGGATATGAATATGAAATGGGCCTGACTTTGCCACACACAGAGCTTTAGGCTTGGTGGAAGGAGAAGCTGGGGCATGTGTCCTACAGCCTGAGAATGCTGGAAACCTCCTTTACAGTCGTTTAAACAACTGTACTGAGAGACCTCCAACATCAACAGCTGTAGCCTCGAACATGCAGGGAAGGCAGCTCTGGTGGTCCCAGGCAGCTGCCACGCAGCTCCACGCTGAGCCCTGAGAACAAAGCCTTGGCAGAGAAAAGGGAGACGGTCCCCACTTCAACTCACAAAAACATTTCCACCTCCTAAATAACAGCAACAATTAAAAATATTTCCTGGCAGCACTGATTTCACTGGTCTGACTGAATATTAGAGAAATCAATGTCATTTCACTGCTAAAAAAATGCAGCAAACCCATCCCTGACCAATACCTTTTGCTGACTGCCAGGCCCCCCTGAGCAGCACTCAGCTGGCCAAGGAAAAGTGCACTGTGTGGGTGCTAACTCACCCAAGCCACCTTCTCTGCCAGGACAGGCAAACCCATGCCAGCTGTCATATGGGATTTCAAACAGTTAAAGGTGTATGAGGTGTTGGATGAGGTTGTTAAAGAGCCCCTGCAGAATGAAGCACAGAAAAAGTAGCAAAAGAGACGACACGTGATGAAAGGGTAAAGGGAGAAATGAATGTCTCCTGGAGTTGCTGACATGTTGCCCCTCCTATTAAGCTGATCCATTACAGTACTGGTGGAGCCTCTAGTTTGCTTGGGAGAATTCATTGCATTGCCTGCAAGGATCTGACATTGCTGGTGGTACAGGATTGGAGAAAGTTATTTAAAAGTTATGAAGAGAAACAATTTCTTATGTTGAGGATATGTCCTGCAGCTTTCTGTTATGCATTGCCTCCTTGCAGACTGACCACCACTAATGGTGGTAAACTGGCAACCCTTCCCCAACAGCTTTCTACTTGAATCTTCCAAATAGTTCTGTGTCCAGGGTAATGAAACCCCCATTTTTCCTGTAGGGACCTTTTCTACAGGACTAGAAGAGAAAAATAGCATGGGAAAGAGGTATGGCTTGCTCAGCTTCACAGAGCATGTCAGCACAGAAGGGATTCACATCTTAGGTGAACTGTGAGACCACAGCTACGAGCATTCCCAGCTCTCCTCTTTTACCTGTGTGGTAAGGAACAGTGAAAATCTGTTCTAGACAGGAGCCCGAAAGAAGGTTGTGTATTCCTGATTTTGCTCAAGATGATGGTACTCACCAGGTGACGCTTGGACGAGGAAAGGCATCAACCTTTGCAGCTAGTTTCAGTGACTTGTGTCCTGATGTGATCTCGTAGTAAGGCCCTTTCTTATGTGAAACTGTAATGAAAGGTTTGTCTGGAAAGAGAAACAAAGAGGAAGACAAGTAATGGCAGATCTGCCACAGTACAGTGCTCACATCTTTGAACTGTGTTGTGTCTACCCTGGATTTTTTGCAATACAGATCTGTAGAAGCTGCAGACAACCAGACAGAATGACAAGCTGTTACTGCAGCTCCCCTGCAAAGCTCGGCCACAGCCAGTAAGGTCTATCTCCAGATGAAGGACTTTATATTTAAAGCAGAGGATACACATCTGCATTGCCCCTGGAGCAGTGTGTAAAAATGCCTGGGGTATCTCTTGTCCACGTGAATGCCAGCAGGCCAGATTTTCCAGGGCATCAGCAACCACATTCGGTGCCAGCTTTTTCAAGCCAGTTCAGCTCCCAGTTAATCCATGTCCTCAGACATGTTTCAGTCTTGAACTCTCTAAAGTTTCTTTGAAAACATAGTGCTGAGTGCTGCCTGTCTCATAGACTGATTACAGATTATAGATGATTAATGGTTGTTTTAACTAGTTGGCATGCTTCCTAATGCCATTTCTACAGACTTAATAAACAGATTTAATAATGTGGCATTATTGTTTAAGCTTAACAGTCCTCGTTCTTGGGTATTCTGGTTTAGCTGCAGAACTTACCATACACTGTAACTGTGACATTGGCCTCCAGCCTTGTTACGTTGAATGTTTTGCATACATACAGGCCTCCGTCTTGCATGGTGACGTTTTCAATTGTCAGGCTACTGCCAACTTTATTCACCATGCCAGTCTGGTCTATTGTTCTTCTAGGATAAGGGTGCTGGAAGTCAGAAAAAAGGGGGTCAAAAAGCAGCATAAACTGGATTATTTTGTTCATCCTTTCAAAGCCTGCCAGTAAAGAAAAACAGTGATTCATATCAAAATTATCATATCTCCCCAACACTGAAATAAATAATATAAAAGACAAATCAGCAGGAAGAGTCCTTGTGTGAGGTTTCATTATCAAGTCTAATAAGAGAGAGAAACAGAGTGGAACTGTGGTGCTTCTCTACTGAAATCTGGGCAGGCAGGTAAATAAGGGGATGCATCACACATCAGCCCCTCTTAGGGATCAAATCTCAGGGATCTCAGTGCAAACATGCTGTGGGCATCTGTAGGGTCACAGTTGTGCTTTGAGTTTTGGTTTTGTTTTGTCGGGGTTTTTTGTCACAGTCAGTTTTTTTCTGTCTTAAAAACCTCCTACTTTCTAAAAGAAATATATTATCACAGAAATATAATATATTATGACAGCCAAGTGCCAAGGCAAATTGCTGAAGAATTTTAGAAAGCATTATCGCTTCTGATAGGATTTTTGATCCCAGAGATTTGGCCACAAAATTTTACATTTAAAATGTTAGAAATCTAAGGAGGGTTCAGAGAAAAACAACTCTGTTCCACCATATGAGGTTCAAGGAACAAAATTCAGTAACTCCATATTGCTTGCGCTTCTGTAAATTCTATACTATATTTTCTGTAGCATCTTCACCAAAACAAAATCAGACATTCTTTCTTTAAGTAAACAAAATAAGTAAAAAAATAATCAATTTTTAGGAATCACATTTTACACTTTTCCAAGAGGCTTAGATGCTTCTTTGAAATGTATATTTTGCTGAACTAAAAAGCAAAAAAAGCAATCATTTTAATTCCGAGCATCAAACAGAACCATGAGTAATATCTCAGGTAAATGAACTGATTTGGAAAATACCCCTTCTTCCCGCTGTTTTTCCATAGAACTGAAAGGTTTTAGCACATCAAAGAAAATGCTCAGCCTCTTACATGTTTCTGCTTCAAATTTGGCATTTTTGTATTGCATTCCACAGAAAGCCCAAGAACCTACACTCAGAATTTAGATTTCATTCTTTGGTGGAGATTTCAGCAGATACAATTGGCTTTTGTTTCACTTTTTCCTACTTAATAAATGCCAAGATGGATGAGCAGATTGACAACTTGCAACCTTCATGGCTGCCTTTGAAACTTGCCACTGTGAGCCAGGATCAACAAACAGGCCAGAAGAAATGGGACAGCTATTCTTCCCAACAAGAAACATACACGCCTGGCTTTTCTTGCAAGCATATATTTAGCCTGAGATTCGCAGTTTAATTCGCAGGTTCAAGATGGTCAGATAAGTTTTAGATTCATCCAAACTAAAAATACAGTCAATTGTAGGCTTACAAATGGTTGGATGTATTTCAGAATAAGTAGTAGTTAGGGTTTACTCAGCCCTGTGAACAGATCTTTCTTTTGGGTAGGGGTAGACTGCATGAGGGCAGAATACTGAATTTTCATCAACTCACTCTCTCACTGGGACATGTCCATATGAGCTCAATGCGCCCATTGATGAAGGTTTCTGCTTTGCATTCCAAATAAAGAGTTTCTCCAACCAGCAGTTTTTTGGGAGTTGCTTTCAGAGCCAGGTTCTGTACTCTGCCCTCTGAAATGAAAAAGGAAAGGTATAACCTTGCAGCACTCTCTACATAAATGACATTTAAGATGGAGTCTGCACTCCGATTGCCTCTCCAACATCCACTCCTTTCACAGTTTCCAGAACACCTCGCCATCTTCTGTCATTTCTATGGAAATTGTTGGAAATGCCCACACAATGGAAACATTAGGTCAGTTATATGAATGCCTGAACATCAGCTGATCAAACTAACTGATCATGTGGACAGACTAATTTATGAATTACTTTTCTTGCATTTTCCATGTTTGGCTCCAACCCTCACTCATCAGCTCCACAGCTATTCTTAGATCAAGTTTTCAGTAGTGTCTCATGAAACATGTTTCTCCTGCCATCTGATAACCAGCTACCTTTTCTTTCTGAATGGGATCCCCAAATCTTGGTCTGCTGTATTTATTAATGCCTTAAATACATCAACTCTGAAATAAGCCTGCATTATGTTTATGGTGCCCCATACCAAACACACATCTGACCACTGTACAGTAACATATTATAGAGTAAGGTATTGCCTGTGTCCATTTGGGCTAGAGAGAGATGACCTAATGGGTTTTTTAGCTTTGCATTCATGATTCTAGTAAAAAATAATTACTCCAACAATGAAGAAAGAGAGAGGGAGAGAGATTTACAAGACTTTTATTTGGCTGCCATACAAATTTACAAGCCTGTTGTGTAAAGCTGAGTGCTAATTGTATAGAAGGATGCCATGATCTAATGGGAATGAAGTCACAATAAACTCTCCTCTGTCAAAAATATAATATATGAGGAGAGAAAGAACATACATTGAAAACAAAGGAAAAATAAATGCTAATTGGCTTCATATAAATCCCCAGCACTCAACAATTTAATATTTAGTTGCTTCAAATTCAGATTTTAATTCTGAGCTGAAGCTCAACTGTAAATACAATGGAAAGGGTATGGTAAATCACCAAGAGAAACTATATAAAAAAGCAAAGATTTGAATTAGCAGTTTAATGAGATTTTTATACCATGATCTTGTGTTTTTAATGACCAGAAGCAAAAAGAAAGTTACTGTTTGGTTTACCCTAAACCAGCAGTTGTTTTAATGTAAATATAGCTCAATCCAAGCAAACAAAGCCTTGGCGGGGTTTGAATAAAATACTCCTATTTTGTACCACCTCAACACTTGGTAATTTTTCAAAACCAAGAGTGGATCAAATCCAAGTTCTGTTGAATAGGAAAAAAAGGGGAAGAGTGAGTTTGCTTTTAGCGTTCCAGCTTGGACTTGCTACAGACACATACCAATTAGATATATCAAATATAATTGAGGCTAACCAAGAAATAATACCCAGGGTCTTAGCTATGGAATAGAAACATTGTGGTCATTCCTTGGCTCACAGTAGTCACTCACCCAGTCTCTGTGCTAGGTAATAGGAGGTGAACACACTTCCATTGACATTTGCAGTGCATGTGAGTACTCCAGAGTAAACAAAAGAATGAGAGGGGATGACAAATCCTTTTTGTGGGTCCCACACCATCCTCTTGAAGTTCATCTCTACAGAGTAAGGATACTGAAAGAGAACAGACAGATAGGAGGCTTGTGAGACATTCCCTTTCTCCCCAGACCATAGCAGCGACCAGCCAAGGCTGTTCTGCTTTAGAGGCACGGTAGATATTTGACCTTTCAGAGTGGTTGGTGGTCTCATTCCACACATATCTTAAGCAACATCAACATAAGCAAATAGAAAAGCCCTCCCTAAGGTATGACTGTCTTTGAAATCCAAAACTTGGACACCATAACTGGGGCTTTTGATTCAGTAGCCCCTGTCCTCTCAGATCTTAGGCAAGATGCCATGCTACCCATTGTAGGTCCCATTTCCCTCATCTCTATACTGGAAATAATTATGCTTATCTTATATGGATTTTGTAGGGTTATCTTTTTGGAAGTGTTTAAGGACAAAGTTTGCTTCTCCTAATGCTACATGCAGCTACCACATGTTTTCCTGGGATCTCACAGTACTTTCAAATAGTGTGAAGTTAGACCCCCCAAAATCGGAATTCTTCATGTTACTAACTCACCTGATGGCAGTCATCTGTAAGCTATGGTCTATGAATCTATCACATTCACTCTATATCACAGAAAGGGATGAGACATTTTCAAAGCAGCCTATTGATTTCCACTAGGCACAGAAGCAGCCTGGATAACTTAAGATCGTAAATCATAGGATGGCAGAAATAAGGAGACTTAGTAACATAGACATTTTTTTTCCCTAAATTCATAAATACTTGTAATGTTCTGAGATTCTTGAAAAAACAGTATCTATAAGTTCTGCTTATGAGGAAGAAGTGAGGATACTGAAGGCAAATGTTGAAAATAAACTAGAGCAAAAATTCATTTAATAAGAATGAACACTCTGTATACCCTTGGACAGCACCAATGTCAAGCAGGTTAGCTTTTGTTGGTGGGAATATTTAGGTGGTTATTATTATTATTATTATTATTATTATTATTATTATTATTATTATTATTATTATTATTATTATTATTATTATTATTATTATTATTACCACATGGGGAAATCCTCTATTTGCTTGTGAAAATGCATTTTACTTTCCAATAATTTTGAAAATCCTGGATTATAAAGTAGAAAATAAATTTGTGAAATTAAATGCAGACAAATAGCTCAGGAGTCTGTAAAAGAGCAGATCACTGAAATTCACCCATTTCAGCCTATTTGCAGGCAGGTGAGTGGAAGCACAGGCTGTAGGTCTGACTCTTCCAGCAGGACACAGGAAAGCTCTTTAGGAATGAGGATGTGCTGTAGGAGTGTTGAGATCACTTCTGGCTGAAAAATGAAGAGTTTGGGGAAAGCTCAATGTGCCTACAGTTGCCACATGATAACTAAGTTTATTTGCACAGTGCTTCTCCCTCCTACTTATCATATACTGGCTTCTCAAAGATGAGGCAAGTTAATGTTTTCCTTTTCAGAGCTACCTTAGCTTTTGGAGCTAACCAGGGGAAGAGCTGCACTAGGGACCACAAGTGGGAATTTCCCCAATGATGTAATAGTTTTGCTCTTATTCTTGTTGTTATGCACCACGCAATTTATTTTTCTGTCTCCAAACAAACAGTAGTCTTGTATGGCAGTGCAGTTTAAAAAGGATTCTGTTTAAATAATGCTCCTATTGCGAAGAAATTTCAGCTCCAGGCTTTGAGAGCTGATGCTCATACCCCTCATATGAATACACAATTGATCAGGTTGGCATTGTTTTAGGTCGCTTGCTATTACACTTTCAGCAGAGACCAAAGACAAAGGAATTATGACTGTGGGGCAGTGACTGGTGATGCTGCTGTGGGGAAGGAGGCACAGCGAGGCAGTTGCTTTCTTTTGGAACAGCAGTTCTCTTCTGACAGTAGTAGGAAACATGGATTTCATGTAAATACTTTCAAAGTAATCAAGCTGTGGTATCTCTGTTCAGAACCATTAGGAAAATTCAGGAAAATTACAGAAAGAGATCTGAGACCTGAGGCTTAAATCATGCTTTAACACCCATGAAGGTCAAAGCTTTAAGTGGCAAAAGCACACTGAACCAGATCAGTGACTAAACAGATCTGACAAGACTGAAAATGCTTTTTTTTGCCCAGGATTAATATCACATTAAGCAAAATTAGAAGTTTGAATTGTGTGTCTTAGCATGGGTTTATTAATAACAAAGATGATATGTAGAGTTAGCTGGGATCTGTTTAGTATTAGCAAGATGTACCTTTCCCCATACATATTTAAAGGCCAGAGAGTGCAATGATTTTAAAGTATAATGGTAACATAAGGAACTTAATTTACGGTGGAAAAAAGTACATTTTCTACAACAATAATAAAATGTGATAAAGCTGAACTTCATGGTTTGGCAGCTCTGCTCCCTGATGGCTAGGGGAAGGGGAAAGAAAAAATAACCCTACTCAGGAGGCCCTTTTCAACACTACACACATGTTAAACGTCTTCATAAAATATTCAAAAAATATATACTTAAACAATCAAACAAAAAGCATGAATGCTACTTGAAGGAAATCACAGTGGCTTTCCTCCCTTTGAAGTTTGTTGTCTATTGGAGATTAAATTTGGAAGAAGAGGATGTTCTAAATTTGTCTGATCGCCTTATTCACCTCTCCTCCCCCATCCTTACCTCCACCCCTCTCCCACCCGCTTCCTCTTCGCATGGGAAGCCGCCACCTTGGCTCCACACGGCGCTATGACATTCCCAGACAGGGCAAAACAAGCGGTGACTTTCCGTAGATGGGAGCCGGGGGCTGGTGGCTCCTGAAGCCAACACATGCCTCCCAAAGCGCGTCCCCTTGAGTAGCTCACAGCTCACAGCCTCAGGAGAGTTTCTTTGGGGAGCGGCACTCAACACCTACATCCCTGCCCCGCAGCCCAGCTGCTCTCCCTTGAGGGGGAAAAATTGGAGACAATTTTCTTTGCAATTCGAAAGGGAGATTTCAGTGGAGATTTCATTCCAGCAGCAGCCTGCAGCAAGGTAAAGGACTTCAGTTTGTGTTTGAAGAAATTACCAGGAGAGAATTCAGCTGGCAAGCAGGGAGAGCAAGGCTGCCTATAAATAAGGGGATAAATGTGGAGGTCTGCTTAGTCGAGGTTCCAAGGCCACATTTAGGCTTATGTGACTGTGCCGAAGTCAGCAGCAGTACTCCAGCAATGAGTTTGGTTGAAGTAGGCTAAAATAAGATGGGGATGTTTCATTTTTATAGCCAAGGAGGAGAAGGTGATAACACTTATCCAGGCTAAAGTGATAAGCTGTAACTGGAGAGGAGCCTTATCCCCCCCCCCCCCCGCCCCTTAATCCCTACTGACAAAATTTAAAAATAGAGATCTGCTAAAGCAATAAGGCCAGTGCTGTCCCTCTGCACGTCTACTGGAAATTTGCCATTGGTCTCAGCAGGAGCTGGAGCACGGTCTCAGGCCTCCGTGATTTCATGTGCTGTCTCCCAGGAGAAGGACACATCTAACAACTAAGACATCTAACTGCTAAGAGGAGCAGAGGTCCTCAGACCCCTCTACCAGCACAGCATCAGCCCATCTGCATGCGCTCTGCTATCACGCTATATCCAACAGAACAACCTCATCTCTTACAGCCCCTCCAGAACAGGCTGTGGAAAAGGGGCAGAGGCAGAGGATGAGCTCTTGTTCCCATTAGGACAGCTCAAGCAGTCAGCCTAGCAGGGGAATGGAAAGGCACATAACCTATTAGGTAAAAGACAGGATTGGAGTCAGGAGACCTATGTTCTGTTCCTCAGTCCGTGATAGGCTTCTCTATAGAGCAGTTCTAAAGCCCTTTAAATGAGTAACTAGATCTCCATCGATTGGGGAAGCCCCAGACCTTAAATTTCCACTTTTTTAATACAAAATGGCCTTGGCCTCCACAGACCATTCTGTAACCTTGACATTCAGATGTAACTGCTGCTGAAGGGATGGATGCTGTAGCCATTTATTCCCAAGGCTGAAAATTGGTTTGAATTTATGAAATCAAGAAAAAATGGGCAAATGTTCTGAGGGGGTTCAAGGTATAAAAGAGATAAGCTTTCATGAGGATAGCTAATAGCCAGGTGTTATACAAAGAATTCTAAAGAAAAATAGTGCCTTGTCATCTATCTTTGCCAATTTATGGAGGAACATGAAGCCACAAGCTGAGAAAAATATGTGATAAACTCAGCCTAATCCCCAAAACACCCTTGTACACTGCAAGAGCAGGACTGTGCTTCTGGATTTTCAGTGTCTTTGCTTTTTTTTTCTGAAAGTTACCCAGTTTCATACATTTTATTTTGTATTTTTACCCATTGTGTTGGCAGCCCAGACCTCTGAATTGATTGAGTTTCTCTGAAACAGTCACTTACCTGGGTAAGCTTAGGTTTGATATCTGGCGAGGTAACTCGGCAAGGGATAACAACCGTTTTCTTAGCATCTAAAATGTAGATTATTTCGGGATGTTCCGGGTGAATCTCCACAAATGGATTTCTGTAGTCTGCAGGGAAAAGAACATTGATTTGAAAAACTGCTCCTTTACTGGTCAATGACCAGAAGGGCACTGAAATCTGAGCGGGTAACTGCCCATAGAAGGCTCACTGTAGTGTGTGACAAGACTTCCAGTCACATCTTGCTTGTTTGCAAATGCCAGTGTCATCTAGGGATTATAGCCAATGACCAAGAATTGGAATACCCCATTTCTAACCCTATTTTACCAGTTTGCAGTGTAATCTTGTAAAAACTCCTTTTCTTATCCATTCTCCATCTGTAAAAATGAAGTTAATAAATCAGCTCCACAGGTCTTCATGGCACTGGAGTTAGTTCTTTCCCCAGCACTCTGAATTTCTTTCATAGGTGATATTGTATGGCAGCACTCCTGAATTCCACAGCAGTTAAGTGTTACAATAGGTTTACAGCAGTTAAGGTAAACCCACTGAAAGAAAAAAAGCTTCTTTTTGTAAATGAGAATCTCTAGAATACTGCAGAAAGCATGCAAAAAGGGAATGTAGACCCACGATATTCAAAGCTAGGCAAGAATAATCTGTTTAACCTAACAGTGCAGTAACTTGGTCACACTCTTGGGGAACTGTGGGATTTTCTACAGACTGCCACAATAAATCAGACTGGATATACATATACAATGGAAATAAATAAAAATCTGAGGTAGTTTAAGTTAATAAAGCTTCTGAGTCTCATTCACTGATTTTCCCCTGTATGAATACAGTGATGGTCATCAGAAAATTAAAATAATTGCGAAATCCTAAAAGCTTCAAGATTTTTCTAAAAAGCATTCTTTGACTTGATATTCTTATGGTATAAAGTTTCAAATACCATTCAGCTAATGCAATACCAACTACACCACACAGTGTAGGCAGTCAACCGCTTTTGGTTTGGATTATACTGTCAACAGGGAAGGATGTGCACCCTGTACAATAACCTCAACCTGCTTATCCTTGGCTTGGGACCTGCCTCCACACACTTAATTATATTTTGGAAATGGCTTCACCTAAAGCATGGGAAATAGCTGACATGAAAGGTTCGTGAACAATCTAGCTTGCAAAAATGTGCTCTGAAGCATTCTGACAGTACTTTAAAAAAGGATGTGCTATGAGGAAATTAAAATCAGTTTTCAAAAGAATGCTTAATTACTCCCAAATGACCTAAATTGGTAATGAATGCAGTCGGCCGGGGCTGACACATCCAGTGCTTTGGGTCGGTAGGAGGCCTTCAACAATGGCCAAACACTTTATGGCTTTGGAAAAGGGAAACACCTACAGTGTAGGCAACCTGTTCTCCGATGTTGTATAATGAGGAAAAGTGTCCTTCTTGATGAAGGTCATTAATGTACTTCCTGAACTCCCCTCGTATCCTCATGCCATGTTTCCTCCCTAATTTCTGATGTAATATTAGGGGATGTTTTATAGAGAAAAAACCAATGACTTATCGCTCGGTGGATCTAGCCCCCCGGTTCTTCCAGAAATTGCCCAGCACGGCCCGCCTCCGTGCAAATCCACGAAAAAGCCCACACCCTACCAAATCAAGACGACGATGCTCCTTCTAGATCTTGGGGAACCCTCCCGCTCTCCGCAGCCGAGAGGCCGGCGCTGGAGCCGGGCGAGGAGAGCGGAGCCGGAGGCGG